TCACAATTGTTATGATGTTTGAGACTCTTGTCCCAGCCACTGCGTCAATCCAGCTCCTTGAGGACCATCTTCTTTTTTTCTTCACCTCCACTTTTCCAAGTATGATGGCCCTTCTGATAACATGTTCAAGGTACATGAGACAGAATCTCATCATCCTTGGCTGTAAGTAGCGTTCTGAATGTACTTTTCCCAATAGAGATCTGTTTGTTCTTTTGACAGTCCATGATACCGTCAATTCACCAGCACTATAATTCAAATGCATTGATTTTTCTTCACTTAATATTCAGTTTTTACAAGCATATGAGGAGACAGAAATAGCGTGGCTAGGGGCTACACCAGAAGGACTTAACATAGAAGTTAAGTCCATTAGAATGAACTGAGTCCTGCCTCGGAGTTGCCTGCACCTTTGGACTGGAGGACTGAGGATTCGGATGGGACAGGAAGCAGAGAGTAGCCACCTGGGACTGTGGAAATGGTGGCCATTGGACCTTGGGAGAAACCCCTGGATCAGGGGGTGTCCAAAGGAAAGGGACCCTGAATCATCGTATATTTAGTGCCACAGAGTGTGGAGTGCTGTGTCATAGGGAAAATTAATGTCGTCAGTGCAATCACCTTATACACCAGGGGGATGATTGACAATGTTGTACATTTTTGTTTACATCAGTTGTTTTCTTGCCTTTAGTTTGTTTCTCTTTTCCTCTTTTTGTTTGTTTGCTGGTTGTTTTGTTACTGGTGCTGATGTAGTTGGTCTTTTGGGGGTTTGATTCTGTCATAAGATGACTGCCAAAGTAAACGTCAGTCATGAATATTCCATGGACAAGTAGATGGATTCTGGCTTACTACTTAACTCTAACCTCAATCCAAGATGATTTAGCTGTGATAACATGGCCCTGATTGATACTTGCCTTCATGAAATGATCACTGAAGATGAGGGTGCTACAGCAAAGTGTGATGAAGAAAGCAGATAGTGCCCAACTACCAATTGGAATTGTCTCTGGGGTCATAAAAGCTTCTATTCAAACAAGGATCCATCTAAGTGAGGAGTCAACTAAGTCCACATGGAAGAAGCACACCAGCTTCTGTGATCCAAAGTAGACAATAACAAAATTCAAATATGATGAAGGGAAAAGTATCAGAGCTAAAATTATGAACACCCAATTTGTAGAAGGCTGAGGAGGACAGTGGGAACCCCAAGCTCAGAATGTCTAGTTACATTAAGCCACTGGCCACAAACAAGTGGCTAGAACAGCCTTACTATCCAACATAGATCACTGCAATCCTGATTACGCTGGATCCAACTTTATATTTAGTCAGTTGTCCTCCCTCTTGACCCAACCCGAATTTGTTCTAGGTACAAGGACAGGACCTCTTGCTTGTTCCATGACAAAAATGCCTTCCCTGGCTTTTAACATATTGATTGAGGTCTTTTCTTCCTGCCCATTGTTGGTATCTTTATCTTTATATTACTATTGTTTCATCCTTACTACTTCATTTCCTTCGTATTCGTTATTGTTTCTGTTGGGTTTACCAGTTTGTGAAGCACAGAAGCAGTGGATGCATAGAGATAATAAGTGATGCAGGGCTTTGTAGGGGATGGAGGGTTGGAATGGGGGGAGATAGAGAGCGTGAGGGGATTTCAGGAGTAAACAATGAAGGGGGGAGGGTGAGGGTGCACAAGAACGGAATGTGATTGCACAACTCATTTTAAAGATGATTTAATCATGTGGGGGGGGCGAGAAAGAAAATGTTCTGGAATTGATTGTGGCAATGATTGTACAATTATTCTCGACATGATTGAATGATTGAATTATAAGATACGTGGATTATGAGCCAAAAACACTGGGGGAAAAAGAGAGAGAAAATAGTATGGTGTGATTCAGGAAAAACATAGTCGTCAAAGTAATATCCTTGCTTTTCAACGCTTTCAAGAAGTCTTATGCTGCAGATTTACCCAAATGCAATGTGTCATTTGATCTCTCAAAACAAACAGAAAGACCTCCGTCCAAAAGATAACAAATGATGGCAAGGCTGTAAAGAGTCTGGAACATTCAGACACTGTTGGTGGGACTGTGAAGTGATGCAACAGTGATGTGACACTTCCTCAATAACTTGGGTCTAGACATACCTTATGACTCTGCAGTCCCTTGGTTAGCCTATTTGGTGTACAGCCTACAGAAATAAGAGATGCAACACAAATAGATGTATGTACACCCGTGCTGATCCCAGCCTTATTCACAATAGCAAAAAGATGAAAACACCCTAAATCAATGGATCAGTAGAAGAATGGATAAATATAGTTTGGTATATGCATACAAAGGGGTACTACACTCTACTGAAGAATAACCATGAATCTGGGAATACCTCATGCCACAGAGGAATCTGGAAGACTTATATTGAGTGAAATGAGTCAAACACAAAGGCACAAATATTGTATGATACGACTATTATGAAAGGTTAGGTCAATGTTTTCATGCCAAAAGAAACACTATTGATGTTGACTAGGGATGTGAGAGTGAGAAGGGGAGGGTAAGTCACAGTCTAGAGGGTATACAAGTGTTATTTTGGGTGAATGGGAAACCAATATACACAATAAGGGAGGCTAAGAAAAAAAATGATGGAGACAGGGACAACCCCTAGTAAGTTTGTAAGAGTTAAAGGCAACACAGGCAAATACTATTATACATACTCTTCTAAAACAGTGGTGATCTATGAGTCCATGCTTGGAAAGGTCTGTCAGTCTTGGAGTATATCATGAATATATATATTATATTACAGAGGATATTTGTATAATTGTATTTACCATTGTTACAAATATATCTATAAATTCAGGGAACATACTTTTTAAGTTTCATACCAGCCAGCCTTTTCTCTTCTCTCTCATATTTGTGATGAAGATCTGTGATCCATGTCAGCAGGTAATAATGGAACATGTGTAAATCAGCTGTTATCTTCCCTGCTACATTTTCCCCTACTTCCACTCAGTCAGTGAATCCAGGTGGTTACCATAATGTGTAAACCAAACTCACATGCTTTCTTTAACTTCCTGTCTCAGAAGGGTGCTTTCTCTGGTGGGTACCAACTGTCATGCAATGTACAAGGAGAGCATGTAAGGTGCAAGTATTTCTCTCTTTCCATTCAGAAGAAAGAAAAGTGATGAAAATTGAAAAACGCATGGAAACTATTAGTCCAGAGGATCAAAGGACCAAACTTTGGTCTCCACTATCCTGAGATGAGGATGTTGTCCAGCTACCAACACCAACTGCTCTGAAAAGGATCACAATACAAGGTCCTTTATATAGTGCGGGGAAACGTGGAACAGAACTCAAAGTCCTAAGGCTTATTGGTTGCATAGAGACCGGTGAAGCCATCAAGATTATAGCCCTTAGTGACCTCTCAGAGCTGGAAGTAAACTCACCCTCCTAGTAGAATAACTAACAATTTCAGATCAAAAGGGCAGCATTAACCTAAGGAAAGAGGATGGCATAAAAGAGGAATAGAAATAGGACACAGGGAGGAAATGGCACGTGTGATGTTACCTTAAAAGGGATGAAATGGATGAGTGGAAATAAGCTCTATCAATTTCTGAATGAAAAATTATGATCTGTGCTGTAAAACTTGACCCAAGTCACAAGGAAAAGTTTGCTAAGAGATTAAATGGGTAATTTTATACTATATTATTGTGCTACATTATTATTTTGTACTAAAAAGAGGAAGTGTCTTAGAATAGCAGAATAGTAGACCAAGAATATGGCAAAGTTATAACAGTCTCCATCATACTCCATGGTCTAAAAATCATCCTCTTTCCTTTGGTTTGTATTCATGGACCACCAAACTTACTCCCCACTGCTATCGAGTGATTCCAACTCCTTGAACTGAACTGCCTGAGAGTTTGCAAGACTATAAATCTTTAAGGGAACATATTGTCTCATCTTTCTCCCAGGGAATAGCAAATAGATTTTAAACATCAACGTTACCGTTAGCAGCTCAACACGAAACCAGTGCCCCAACAGAGCTGCTTCCTGTGCTGCAGAGAAAATATAGGAAATTATTTCTTAGGATCCCTGAAACCAAGAGTTTCACATATAATGACTGAGATGCTAAATAGATTACAGAGACTCAAATGGTGAAAGTGTGACACAGGCTTTGGTCCAGCCAATTATGTGATCAAGCATAGTCGGAGAACATTGCGTTATTTGGAATAAATAGAGGCAAAGTCTAGTAGCATCATCGATGTCAAGGAGTGCTATGCATACCCTTTGCTAAACACGTTCATATCTACTAGCGGGTCTTGAAATGATCAGTCATGAACTAACAATTATAGCAAAAGATTCCTACTACCTGGACGGCAGAAAATGCAGCATGTTTGTGGAGTTAATTTCAGCAGAGTCTTCTTGATTCTACCTTCTTTTCTGATGATAGAAGAGGTGTCAAAACTGTTAGCTGGTCTTGTTTTCTGCAGTCATTCTGCAGTGTTGGTCTGCAGTCATTTTCAATACTTAAACATAACACCAGTGCTTTTCAAAATTTAATAAGAACATGTTTACAGAGTTTCACTCACAATACTTAACAAGAATTCAGTTTAAGGAAAATAACCTAGGTGGGTGAATATTTCATGCCAGATCTGATCTCAAGAAAAAACTTACAAAATAGGAATCTTAAATCTTCTGTCTCAGATTTTTTAGGGTTTGAGGACAATAATGGTGCTGTTGCTGTGAGATCATTGTATGCTGGGACTCTATGCCTAGTAGTGAATGTTCTCATTCATAATAAAATCTGTTGTCAAGTTGAAAGAATCACCTGTTGAAAGGAATCTTTGGTTAAAAGAAGACATTTTATAAAGAAGTACATGGGAAGTAATTGCAGATTTTGTCTTAAAAATCAAGGAGCTTGAATTCTGGACACAATGCAGATGTCTGAACTGATGAATGTCTTATTCTGGTTTTCGTTGTTTTGAGCTCTCTTTCTCACAAGTAGCTCTCTAGTATTGAGAATGATGTTTCTCAGCTGAAAAGCTTTCTTAGGGCTTGCTTTATGTCTTTATTTCTCAGACTGTAGATAAAGGGGTTCAGCATGGGCGTGACTACAGTGTACATCACCGAGGCTATTGCACTGGCCCTGGAGTTTTCTATAAAATCAGAACTGAAATAAACCCCCAGAGCTGTCCCATAGAACAAGAAAACCACGGAGAGGTGGGACCCACAAGTGGAAAAAGCTTTGTACTTGCCTCCAACAGTTGCAATTTTCAAAATGGAGGACACAATTTTCATGTAAGAGAAAAAGATCCCAAAGAGTGGAACAACACCCAGAAGTCCAGTTACAAAATACGTTACTGAGTCAATGAGAAATGTGCTAGAACAGGCAAGTTGCACTACTTGTTTAAGGTCACAGAAAAAATGGGAGAGTTCCAATTCTGTACAAAAAGACAGTTGTAAAACCAATAGCCCATGTGCTAGAGTGTGTAGAATTGACAATAACCAAGCTACCAGAAGCAAGAGACCACAGAACTTGGCATTCATGATGACAGTGTAGTGCAGTGGGTGACAAATGGCCACAAACCGGTCATAGGCCATCGCTGTTAAGAGGAAATTGTCCACATCCCCCAAAAGCATGAAAAAATACATCTGAGTGATGCAGTCTTCATAAGTAATAACTTTGTTCTGCAATTGAATGTTCAGCAGCATCTTTGGGACGACATTGGAGGTGAAACAGATGTCAGTAAAGGAGAGGTTGGAGAGGAAGAAGTACATGGGTGTGTGGAGGTGGGAGTCTGTGATGATGACCAGGATGATGAGCAGGTTCCCAGTGAAGGCGACCAGATACATGGAGAGGAACAGACCAAAGAGGAGGGGCTGCAGCTCTGCGTCTTCAGAAAGTCCCAGAAGGATGAATCCTGAAAAGCGTGTTTGGTTTCCTAAATCCATGTAGCTGATGAAACTTTCAGGAAAGAGAAAAGAGAATTGCAAACTTAGCCATGAACAGTTAAGAATAGTTTAACAGATATGCTGTAGTTTATATTTTAAACGTAACTAATTCCTATACTTTGTCGATAGATCTAGTGCTCTTGAATCCCAAATGCCCAATCCTCTCCTTGGTGCTACAATGATCTAGCTCTCCTTGCTTCTAATTCCACCTTTTTCCTCAAGCAATACATTCCTCTACAAATTCTTTAAGATTTTGTTTTGTTCATTCAACAAATGTCTTTGGCCAATTATGTTATGCCCAGAGTTCTTGAAAGTGGCAGGAACCTCAGTGAACTGTTCAAATCTTTGCCCTTAGTTGGTGAGGAGTGAAGCACTGGGGATAGGGAACAGCCGTAAGATCCAGCTATTGGGCTCTTCCCTTCCAGAGGTAGGAAGAGTGATGGAATGTGAAAGACACATGGAAACCATTGGTCCAATGGACTCATGGAGCATGCAAACAGCAGTCATGCCTGGAACAGAACTCTCCTCCATGGACCAATATTCACCTGTATAGTTCAAGAGGGCAGCACTTGCCCAGGAACACAATTCAGAGGGTTAGGAAAGAAGGAAGAATGGGAACGGGGAACACAGAGAGGAAGTGGGATAAGTGATGCTACATCAGGTGATTGCCATGGATGAGTTAAATCACAGTGTATGTGAAATGTGGACTGTTGAACTGGTTTGTCAACCTTCACAGTAAGGTTTACCTAATTCACAGTGGGAAGTAAGGTACAGTGAAAAAGAAAGGCTTCCTTGTCCAGCCATGTCTGATCAAGAGGCTTTGAGCAGGAAATGTGAAGGCAGTTAGGACGTCATGATGAGAAGCATATTTTTAGCAAAGAGAGAAGCAGTGCAAAGCCCCTGACACAGGAGTATTCCTCAGACCAGCTGACAACAGAGGAAATGGTTTAAATAAATTGCAAAAAGGAAGCTGTGTTGAGGTAGTTTAAAGTGAACACAAGACCAGATTAGTGTGAGGTTGCTGTAGACTCCATGCTATGGGAGCTTGGACTTGGTTTACTGGTTTGTATATGTTATTATATCACAGCACAGCACAACAGAGCGCAGCAGCACACAGCACAGCACACCACAGGACACCACATCACATCATCCATATTGTATGATACTGAGCTGCTAGGAGGTGCAACAGGTAAGCACTTGGCTGCTTGCTAAAGGGTTGGGAATTACAATACATTCAGAGGAGCCTGGTGATCTGTTCCCAAAAGTCACAACCTTAAAAATATCAGAGTGCCAGCGGAGAAGTGGGTGAGGGAGACGTTGGATGGGGTAAGATATGATAAAATAATAATAATTTATAAATTAGCAAGGGTTCGGGGGGGGGGAGGGGGGAAAAAGGGGGGAAAATGAGGAGCTGACACCAAGGGCTCAAGTGGAAAGCAGGTGTTGTGAGAATGATGAAGTCAACATATGTACTAATGTGCTGGACACAATTCATGTATGTACGGATTGTGATGAGTTGTATGAGCCCCTAATAAAATGATTATTAAAAAAAAGAGTAATTAAAAAAAAAGATCAGCATGCCTGTCACTGCCAGAGAAGACTAAGGAGATCTAGTAAATAAACACAATGTGCAATTCTGGATGGAGATGATAATAGGCATCCCCATGAGTGGTTTATGAGAAAAGTTTGTATGATATATATAATGTTTCTGTAACTAAAAAAAATTCTCAAACACTGAAGTTAGGTAAAACTTTTTTAGAAATGAGCCATATGAAAAAAACTTTGAAAACAATCAGCTGTGACCTTCACCCAGAGTCCACTCCCTGCCCTTCACAAGACAAGTCACAGCTGTAACTCCCCTAGTCTTCCCTTGAATCAAAATTCCAATGCCAATTTTAAAGAAGAACTAAAACATTAAATTATGAATTTAAAATGTCAAGCTGCCTCATATCCTCAGTGGATTATGGATGCCTTATAATCAAAAACCTCAGGTTCATCCCCATTTCTTCTGTGCTTTTTCCACTCTTCATCTCTCTAGGGTTTTCACAAGAGAAATACACTGTTCTTCACTTTGACCAGGGCAGTGTCTCCACGGGGCAAGTCTGAGGGTAGGCATCCTCTGCCATAAGCTCTGCATTGACTCTCCGCTAATTTCACAATTGCCCGTCCTGCAGGCATACTATGAGAGTCTCTGTTACCCGCCTGCTGCCTACCTGCCCACACTCAGGCTTCATCCTCTATTCCTTGCTTTCATTGTTCATCAGCTACGAACTCTTTTGTGCGATCTCCTAAGCAAACCTTATGGTTTTAATAATCCCAACAATAATCCCATGTCTGCTTCCTCCTTCAGAGCTCAGTGGGACTCTAGGAAAAGAGCAACAACATAATTCATTTTACTGGGATTGTAGTTCCATCTTAGAATATCACATTTAATCATCGTCTGTTACTGTACATAGAAGGTGACATACTTGCAAGAAGGGGCAATGTCTACTCATTTCTTTGTTTCCAGAGTATCATTTAGTCCTAAATACGTGTTTTGTGAGTTACCCTATGAATGTACATTTGAATGAGGCTAACAGACATGTTGTGAGAGGAGACTGCTTGAATGAAAGCTGGCACCATAGAAGACAGATGAGAGAAAGAAGACATTTGCATGCATCCAGAATCATGGTCTGGAAACAGGGACTTTAAAATAGCAGGACTTTAGATCATTAAATTTGCCTTTATTTGTTATTCCTCCTGCTACATCTACAGATACTACCAAGAAAAAAAGGTCTGTCCCCTGTCCCCCAGCACCTGTGATGTTGCTGCGGCTCATCCAGGTATCATCAGAGAAGAGTCTTAAGTCACCAATGCAGTTTCTTCCTTGTCCTGCTGATAAAGGGTCATGCTGTTCTGGCAGGAAGGGCATGGAGATGGAACCACTCATGAGACCTCTGGAAGACACAATCACATTTTCTCATCACCTGAAATTAATCAAGTAGAGTTGAGTTCATCTGTGGGAGTATTTACAATTTTATGGCTTTAGTGTACAAATTCCCATGTGCCTCATTAATGCAGTATTCTTTTATCTTATACTTCCTGAGCAATTTTTTATTTGGAACGAAGAGAAAAACAAAATGTATCCTTTTGAGCCCTGGGAGACAACTTGTAGCTCCATTTACATCATTTATCCCTTTGGACTCCTTTTTCCCAAGAGGCGATGACCCTTATTTTGATGGGTTTCTAGCATGCAGGGTAACTCCTAATGATTAATCTAGGATGCATTGCCTACTCCAAAGACCTAAAGAACATAGTTGAAGGGCAGCATTTTATGAAATACTGCAGAACCCCACAGAGGCTTGGCACTGTACTTTTACCATGTCAGGAGCCCTGGTGGTATAGTAGCTACATGTTAAGCTGCCACTTGCAAGCTCAGCAGTTCAAAACCACCAGTAGCTCCTCAGGAGAAAGACAGCATGTCTATTACTAAAATAGGTGGACGTCTCATAAGCCACAGGCAATTCTACCTCATCCCGTAGGGTCACAATGAGTCGGCATAACTTGATGGCTGAGAGTTTGGAGTTTTTATTTCAAGTAATAGACTGTAGGCCCTGCATAAATGTAGAGCCAAGCTTATCCGAAGGATATTGGAAGATAGCATTATAGGATAGTCTACAGATCTACAGGTCACAATTGAAAAAAGCCCAGATGTCACAATGTCCATCAGCTGGTTCATACATAGTGTTCAAATTTTATTTCATAATATCATCATATAACACAGTGGTTCTCAACCTTCCTAATGCCATGACTCTTTAATACAGTTCCTCATGTTGTGGTGACAACCCAATCATAACATTATTTTCATTGCTACTTCATAATTGTAATATTACTACTGTTATGAATTGGTGCGACCCCTGTGAAAGGGTTGTTAGACCCCGAAAGGGGTCATGACCCACAGGTTGAGAACCGCTAATATAACACAGTACATTAGATAGCTTAACATTTCATGTAACATATCATAACTTAGTCAAAGG